TATATTTTTTTTTCTTCTTCCCCCTCCCCCCCAAAAAAAAACCAAAACCAAAACCAAAACCAAAACCAAAACCAAAACCAAAACCAAAACCAAAACCAAAACCAAAACCAAAACCAAAACCAAAACCAAAACCAACCAACCAACCAACCAACCAACCAACCAACCAAAATTCAAAAAAAAAAAAACAAAAAAAACCCCCTGCTTTTTCAAAGGCTGTTTTGTGTGATAAACTGCAAGGGTAGCTCAGCATGGCATCTTCAGACAGCTATCTGTGTGAACACAGAGATGTGATAAACCAAAACTGCACAATATGTTTACCAGAAACTGTTTCTAAATTATATAGGAAATGAATAACTGACATTGAAGTAAAATGAGATTTTATGTTGTCATTCCTGTTTTCCCTGTGTTCTTGGAAACAGGATGAATGCAGTGTTTATGTTTTTGGAACTCAGGTCCTGTTTTTAAAAGTTACACAAGTAATGCCTGGCCCACCCATTCTGTGCTCAAACATCTCTGCCTCTTTTCACTGATGCTCTACTGAGGCTTATTCCTGGTTAGAGGTGCAAAACCAGGTAGTCTGGCTGTAGTTCAAGTTAGGACCTGAACAAAGCTTATGCCTATGCCTAAAATACATCACAGAGCTAGCCTAAGGGTCCTAGTGACTTAAAAAAAAAAAAAAAAAAAAAAAAAAAGAGAGAGAGAGAGAGAGAATTAAGTTCCTAAAGTTTTTAGATGTTTGAAAATGTTATTTCTTTCAAAAAAGCCCCAAATTTCACCATTATAAAGACAAGTAAAAAACAAGTAGTCAAAAACCTAGTATTTTTACTGAACAGACATAATAATATTATTAAAACTATTTCACATAGAGACAGACCATGATTGGATGCTGTCTGCAGGGTGACCCCTCCTCTGCATAGTCCTCAGTGATCTCATACAAAAGAGATAAACAAATACACTCAAAGAAGGCAAGACAAGTGAAATAATCTACATGGTTTAAGAATGGAAACAATCCACATTCCTATTCTAGTGGTGAGTGGTTCTGTAGTATTGAAGTGGAACTGAGGTTTAAGCCGGAATTTAGTTTGTACATGTAATACTAATAAGAAAAACTAGAAAAATTCCCTCTAAGGCTGTCAATTAACTGTATTATTGTACTTTTTTTAGAAGCCAAGAAATTCCAATGTTAAGATAGCACAAAGCATTTATCAGCTACAACCTACAATAAATGCGAAGATTATACAGAGTTTTCATGATTTTGACTCTTTTAGGATTGAAAATGCACAGTTAATAATGCTATTTTATAAGTTAGGATATTCCAAAGGGCTCAGAAGACAGAAAAAAAGGTTATAAAAAGAAGGAAAGTCATGCCAAACTTGTGACAAATGAAATGGTTGTGTTTGCTCTTGTAGTAAAGCATCAGTCAATAAATAAGGCTGAAGATCAAGAATAAAGTGACAGAGAAAAGTGGACCTAAGAGCACTGACAATGAATAACAACATGCTTTTTAATCATAGAGGGTGAAATCCCGGCTCTTGGTGAAGTTGGCAGAAAATACTGGCACAAGGCTGGGTTTTTATTCTGTGCTACATTTGTACCTTTGTATAGTGGAGATGATCAAAAAGAAATATCTGCTTTGCAGATATTGCCCTGAAATGCATGTATGTTAGGAATTGTCATATATATTATTTTCTCTTAGTATTTTGGTTAGGAATAGTCTTAGATGAGGACCTGTTGACCGGCACTGACCAAACTAAGAAGGAAAGATAACTGCTGATCCAAAGAATTTAAGATGAATTTACCCTCCCAGTAAAATCCAGAGGCAACATTCAAAGACTTTATGAGATGTTGTTATTGATCACAGTAAACCTGCGACTTTGCTGCTTTTAGGCCTGTCATCCTTCCTTGTTAGTAAGGAAGACTTATGGACAGCTCAGAAGGAATGTAATGTAATATTTAAGACTAGCTTCTCCCAAACATGGCAATCACAGAGAAGAAAGCATTATAGTGTGTATTTGGAAACTGAATAACCAGACGATAAAGAAGGCATCATCTGGCTCTTTCTGACTAAAATTGTATTTAAAATAATGCTTAAGGTAAATCAGTAAAGGTACAAAGAAGGTCAATGAGAATACTGGCAATAAATAAATACTGATGTACAATATTTAACAGGTTTATTTAAATAGGTAAATACATTATTTAATAAGAAAGAGCCTTTAACTTGGAAAAGAGGCAGCTGATGGGTCTATAAGATCATGAATTTATTGGAGTAGACAAATAAGAAATTTCTGTTGAAATATTTCTCATAATATAAGAACTTTATTATGAGGAAGCACATACTAATCTCAAAAGGGAAGTGCTTTTTTAAACAATCCACAGATAAATTGCAGAACTCACTGCCACAGTATTCCTTGGCTCCACAGTATTTCTTGCCATAGGTCTCCAAAAGTAGTCAAATTCTTGGTAAAATGATCCACCCAATGCAATCTTAACACCATGATGCAGATGCAGCCTTCCATTCAAAGTCCATCAAACTTCTGGTCTGAAGCTGTGTGAAGAAAAAGCCACTTTCCTACTTGCCCTAATTCTACATCCTTTCCAAATTAGCTGTTGGTTAAAACCAGACATTAGAATGACTAATTGTCTTTTGTAGCCATATGTTGTGTTTTGTCCGGTCTGACCCAACAGAACAGTTTTGGGTTAAGTTGCTTCTTTTTTTTTTTTTTTTTTCTTTTTTCCTGGAATTCTGTAGTTGTAGTATACTGCAGTTAGGAAATGCATGGATGCCATGGATCTTTGAGCAATTCCAATGAGCATATCTTTCACAGAAAAAACACTGATGCAGTCTGGCTTCAAAACTTTGTGGTGGTGATACAAAGTTCTGAAAACATTTTACATCTGGATCTGCATAAAAATTGGTCTTGTTAGGCTGCCTAAACAGGTGCATTGTTCTGTATAGGGCATTCATGCAGTACACTAGACTGCAATAAAATGTGAATGGTCCCATAAAATTATATTGATCCAGTGCTTTACCATATGATGTCCTCAGTGGAGAACACATTCTCATTTGCAGGTACAAGGACATATGGTGAAAATTCTTGGTTCAGTAAAATGAAAAAAAAAAAAAAAACAATACTCAAAATGTATTCAGTAGGCTTCATAATGCAGCACACTAGGGTTTGTAAGTCAAAGGAATATCTGTGATGTGTAAATTCTGAAATCAGTACAACATCTGGTTTCCACATGGGGCTTAGTCTGATGTGTCCCTTCCTACAGGAATGTAGACACTTGTCAGTACTTATCGTTGCCAAGTTGTAGTTAATGTACAAATGTAGAAGCAGCATTATTCTGCAAACCCAAAGGAGAATTAAACTCTCTTCCTCTCCCTCTCCCCATCCTTTTCTCCTTCCTCAGTAGGACTGAAAAATCCACATCTTTGATGTCTGCTTTTCTGGTATTTTAAAGCATTTTAAAATGAAAACAGTTGAAGGTATAGAAGATAGAGTGTGTAAAGTCCATGTAAAAGTACCCCAGCTGGCTTTCTGTTGACAACCCTGGGTGCTGAAAATGGCAGCAAGATCCCCATGGCTGTAGAGATGCAGTTGTGAATTTGGAAATGGTTGCTTTGTGCATCTGAGCTTTGACAATGGCAAACTGGAAGTGGGGGATTTTGGTTGAGATCGAGCCACTACAAATCGATAGCCTGGTGATCCCAGCACTGATATTTTGTCATGTCTGTCCACAACAACTGACTTCCATGGGCACTGTTTAGAAACAAAAATGGTTTCATTAGCAAATTATTGATGTATTTTATGATTCAAAATAATAATAATTCTGCAAAACAATCTTCCTCTGAAACAGTGGAACAGTTTCAGAGGGTTTCAGCTTCAGAACAGTTTCAGAAACCGAAACAGTGGGTTTTCTGCCCACACAGAAAACATTCTGGTCTACCCTGTCTTTACCTGCAAAGTAATTTTTGGACAACTCACCAAGCAGAAAGCTATTGGTTAGTGAAAATGTTCGTTTTAGCTATGCAGGATTGCTTCCTCTGTTGTTCTTTTGTTAAACACTAATTATTATTACTATGATCATGATTATGAAATAAATCCTGTTTTAAAGTTTCAGAATGAAATTATAGCTTGCGTTTCTTAAAATATTTATTGTGAGTTTAAAAATACTTTTTCTTGACATGTAGTGTTTAACTGAAATGCTGCTGGTATATACCTCCAATGGAGATAAAACTGCACAGGAATCCTCTTTCATGATAACAATTTACAGTAGGTGACATTGCCAAAATAAGAAATGTTTTGTATTTCTCAAGACTCTGAAAATGTCACAAATGTCATGCTTGTTCATTTCAGCTGCTGGAACTGAATTTTTCAAGGACGACATTTATGAAGTATATAGTTGTATAAACTTGGAGATACGTGTTTAGTACTTGACTCTGGATTTGTTATTAATATAGTGGAAGTTTTATAATCATGAGTGTAATTATAAATCTTTAATTACTGAATCATCTGTTCTACAGAAGTGTTTCAATTAATTTGAGTTAATTTGATCCGAAATAATGTATGGAAATTTTTTCTTTTAAAATGACTGTGTTTTAACAAATACATCTGCTTACCTAACTCAATAGAGGAATATCTGGGGAAGCTTTACTTGCAATTCTTTGTCTAATGCATCATTTTATTCACCAAATAGTTACAACACTTAAAATAATTGTGTTTGTCATCTAGTTAAGGTGACTTTTATGGACTTTGTGGATTTTGTATTCATTTTGTGTTAGGGGTCTAGAGCTCAAAGCTCTGCAGCTCGCTGACATGCTCAGGTGTGCTCTGAAGTTTAATTCCTATCCTGACTGAATGATAAAACTCAAACAGCCCAACACCCATTCTTTGCTGGTTTATTGCTTGGGTTAAGTAAGTGACTTATCAAAATACTGTGTAATGTGTATTAATATCCTTGTTTCATGAATATTGACAAAAATCTTTTTAAACTTGCAGCAAGTAGTGGCAGCAATAAATGCAGGAATCATACCTTTAGGAAACACATCTACTCAGATCAGTCACTGGGACTTGGGAAGTTCCTTCTTCTTTGCTGGCACTGTTATTACCACCATAGGTAGGACACAGCTTATTATCTTTTTATAGTAACTAAAGAAACTCTTTTGATTTCAAATGTGTGCATATATTTGTCAATGGTATATCTTCCAAATCTTTTTTTTTTTTTTTTTTTTTTTTTTTTTTTTTTTTTTTTTTTTTTTTAAGCAAAGAGTTACTTTTTAGCTGCAGGGGCATATGTGAGAGCTCTCTTTAACATAGCTGAGTAAATGACTGCAACAGAAGAAAAAATGTTGCTGTTAGGTTTCTGTGAGGTGACTAGAAGAGGCTGTGGAAACATTTTCTAGGGGGAATTTGGTCAACTGTGTAATTGTAAGTGTTAAATAGGGCATGATTTAAAGCACATGTGCATTAAACCTTGATGGAGATGTATGGAGTTTCAGGTCTGTATAATCCCACTCTATGTTTTCTCTGTTTTGAATAAGATGACAACGTGGTAAAGATTCAGTTCAGTGTACTCAGTTATGAGCACTGTATTGATGGACAGACTGACAGTCAGGGGCTTACTTTGAGGCTTCTGTTGCATTCAGGAAGGACCAAAGCTGTAGGGTGATTTGTCCATAGACACGAGCTCAGTGAGCTTTCTGCAGCCTTCTGCATGCAAGAGCCACTGTCCCTCTGGGCAGGTGTGAGCAGGAGCAGTGTTTGACCTTTCAATTTCTTCCCCTTGACTAGAATATAGTGCACACGGTAGACAGTTCAAAGATGTAGCATAGCTCCCAGGTCACAGGAGGGGCATCCACAGAGGGGGATATAAATTTGAAGAAATCAGATAAAAACATCTTATGTAGATCTTATTTTAAGATCTACATTGTTAGAATAATATATAAACAATTGTTTCACTGTTGCACTTATTATCTCTGTGTAATATTTATATGCACATTGTGAAGGAAGGGGTGTTCTTTTCACATACCTTTGTTTTTTCTTTGTGTACAAGTGCAAACATAGTTTTGTGTGTTTGTGTGTGTACATGCCTATGCATACGTATAAATATTGTGTCTAGGTGTAATATTTTTTCACATCCAGTGAAACTACAACACAGATTTAGTGAAAGCAAAGGGTCAAATTCTGACCTTACTAAGGTTAGAAACAAACTCACTAATTTTAAGAACTGAAAAATGAAATTTTATCAGATTATAACCAAGACAAGCAAAAGCTGTGGAAGGATAGCTATACAATCAGTCTTATGTTACCTTCTTCCATCTTACCATCAAGCATGAAGCTTGATGTTGTAATTTTAGCCTCTATTTTAAACTGCATATTTATTAATACTGGCCAATGTCTTTTGCAGTTCACTATGTTTTGCTTCTAAATTACTTACCCCTTACTCTTTAGGATATTTTAATGAAAGTATATCATTGCAAGTATGTATCCATGGTCCTGTAGAAAGTGCTTAGCATTTGTTTCAGTTGCAAATAGGAATAAAAAAGTAGGAAAAATGTCCAGGGAATTAAATGATTCAAAAAATTGTCTGAAAGCAGTGGAACATTTTGTTTCACTATTTCATTTCTAAATAAAACTTTAAGGTCCTTCAGAATCAAAATGTTTCCTGATTTAATTTATTGACCTGAAACCACCAAAACATGTGTCCTGCTTAGAGGAGAGAGGGGCATCTGCAAACGGATCCAGTCCTCTGGTCTGCTGTCCTCAGGAGGCAAGATAACCCAATAGGAAATACATTTGAAAATTAGTATTTCAGGTCATTTCTGCAAACCAGAGTAGTCAGAAGATCAAACTAGACAACTCTAAATATTTATTTCAGGTTTTGTGATAGAAAACATAAGGAAAAAGTCTAAGAAAAAGTATTCTGAGAAATATCTTGGCTTTGGACCTACTGTGCTTTTCATCAGAAAGCCTTCTGATGAAAGCTCGCAATCAGTTACAGTTTTTGGGTTTGTTTCTTAGGATCTCTGAATTGTATGTGGACATTAATGCTGTTGCATATTTGTTACTGTCTTGATGCTGTTAACCATCTTCCCGATGGTTCAAAGGGCTTGCAATGTGACACAAAAAGAAGGTGTCATGAAAAGCCTTTGGAATTGTGGCTCTCCCAGAAAAATGTTGATGAGCATGATGGTTAGCTGTATTTTCACTATTCTTTATATCATGACAGGCCATCAGCTGCATTTGTGTTCACAACGTGAGCTTTTCATATATGAGTAACCTTTTGAAAGTGAAGGCATTACTTCCAACTTGGGGGCATATGGTTATCATATAATTTGATATTTGAAATTCTCAAGAGTCTAAAAATACAGTTTATGAGCATCTCCAGAGAGCTGCTGTAAGTTTCATCCAAACACTATGGATAGATACTCTCTGTGGACAAAGACATGACCTTATAAATTCGGAAAACAACTTTGCAGAAATAATTTATGAGCGATATTTATAAGTATGAATAAAATTATAAATATTATGTCCTTCAGACTGAATGCCTCAAAGAAGTACTTGAATAGAAGGAAAAAAAATAAATTACTACCACCTACAGAAAATGATAGCTTTCCAGTGTTGCAGCAGATTCTCTAGTTTCCCAAACCTCTTATTACTATAATTTTACCTTATCATTAGCCCACACACCTCCTGCTGATATCTTGGAATCTAAGAAATTTTAGTGAAACCAATAGTTTATTTATGGATAGTTTTTTTTTTTTTTCCAAACCTTTCCTCAATGACAGTACCATTTGTATCCATGAAATATTTGGTTCCTGGGGAGAGGAGATCATAAATAAAGACTTTAGCACTTACCTAAGCAACAAGTATTGTCTTACAGTTACTGTTATTATTGTATTATACCAATGGCAAGCATGTAAGTGAAAAATCCTGACACTGTATTTCAGTGGCTGTTGGCAGAATCATGTGTCCTTTCTTACTGCTCTGAATTTCCTGTAGGCTGCTGAAAGGCTTTCTGATGGTGACGTGTATTTACCGAGGGTCAAAGCCAGCTAAAAAAAGCAGAGGTAATACTAGAGAAAGCATGGTGTGGCATTTTTTAAACTATTTTTAAAATTCTGTTTTAATCCTTCATGTTATCTAGTAAATGTTACTGTATGTATAATAAAATTTTAAACTCAGTTTTAATAGAATATTATTTGCCATTTATTGCTAGATCTTTCCTAGGAACTGGATTTAATACAGAGGCCAGTGTCAAACAATTTCACAAGACTCTATTTAATAGAAAAGATTCTTTTTAGCCTTTTTGCCATATTTGAGTGGACTGATTTTGGCTTTGCATTTATTACTGTGCAACAGCATCAAGAAGCTACCTCGTGGGTTATGGGCTTAGTTTGCTTAGTTAGGTTTTCTTACTTGTGGATGTGTTTCTAGGATAAATATGGCTCATCTTGACAAAGAAATACGGAACTATGTGATTACTCTGTGTGTATGGAACACTTTCAGGTAATCCCTAAGAGGGAAAATGGTAACAGAGGGATATGGGAATGTTGTTTGTGAAATATACTGTTGCATTGTTCCCTGGGATACAATGTGCTGCAAAGCACAGAAGACACTCTTTTTTTTCTGCCTGAAAATGCCATTATTCACTCAGTTCTGTTCTAAGACCACGTCTATAGAAAAGAAAAAACAAAACAAAACAAAAACAAAACAACAACAACAACAAAAAAAAAGATTGAGGGGAAAAGCATGAAAAAATGGTAACTCAATCATGAAGCTGAAGCCGGTGCTGAGGAAGGATGGTAAATAATCTTTCTGCCACATTTTTTTTTTTCTGAGGACTCATAATTGTCCTTCAATGTGCATTTTTATTCTCTAGATTGTTTCCTTCAATAGGTTGCTTAACTCAGAAATGGACAGTCAGCCTCCCTCCCTCCCCAGCAATTTATATCTTAGGTCCTGAGAAAGTTTCTTATGGGCAACAGGGTAGGGAAGGAGACCTCTCTTGCTGCAAGCTTGAGACCTTTATCTAGAAAAATCAAAAAACAAAGTAGACATGCCAAGATATTTAGTTTAGTGGCCTTTCTCATAAGTGACTGCTGTCTCAGCACATAAACAATGTCAGAAACCATATAATGAAAACTTTTAGTAGACTCCTACAGATCAAATACCTGTTCTATTTTTGCTGTTATTCCAGTTGGTCTGTAATGACTTTTTCAAGCACCACAAGCAGACATATAGTAGAGATGGCACTTCTTTGGAGTCCTGGAAGATGGAGTATCTTGAATAGCAGTTGTGAGTGTGTCAGGAATCCCAACGACCTCATCAACAGTTGTAGTTTTCAGGAGCATGTCTTTCCAAACAGAGCTGTGTCTATGCAAGGATGAGTTCTTGGAGCTCCTGAGTACCTGAGCACTAGACGATACTTGGCAGCTCTATTGATGTTCATATCCCAGAGTTCTTAATAACTTTCTCAACAAATCAAAAAGGAAGAATACATCATTTCTTTTTTGTCCTTTCTCACTTTGTATATATTTATTTATTTATTTTACTAGCCCTTGATTTTTGAACCCAGACTTCTCATAGGCACTTGAAACTGAACCTCTAGAGAAGTTCAGTTATGACTGAGCTTTAAGTTAGCTTCATGTAGCTACCTACTGTAGTACTGCTATGTTGTTTGGGTCCAAAGCCTAGCAACGATCATTGCAGAGTGCAAAGGAATATGAATCTTAAATAACAAAACCAAAAACAATAATGATGATGATAATAATAACAACAATACAATTATTTCTAAATATTTCTAAATATTTATATTTTAGGGAACGATTTTGAATAGCAAGCAGGTAAAACTATGAAATATGGTTAATATTTTTAACTAGAAATCTGAAGTCAATTTGTCACTTGATTTGCAATTAGTTATGTAGGTTCAAAAGCAATTTCACTGTAAGGAATACTTTTTCTGCCATTTTCCCACTGCCTGGACACAAGCTTCTCCTGTGAAGTCAGGGTATTTTAAAAGGTCTTATTACATTGCCTATTAATTTGAAAAAATAATAAAATTCTGCTGATAAATCTGACCCTTCTGGCATAATTTCACTGCCTTTTTGAAATACA